AACACATTGACTGATTGCCTCCCACATGACCCAATCGGGGCCGGGGGCCGAACTGCAACCAAGGTACGTGCCTTTGACTGGAATCGAATCCTCAGCTCATTGGTCCGAGGGCCGACGCTCTAACCACTGTGCCAAACTGGGCAGGGTTAGAATTCTTGCTTGACAGCTTTTTTTTTTTGTTTAGTCCTTTGATATGTCATCGCATTGCCTTCTGGCCTTTATTGCTTCCGGTGGAAATTAAGCTATAAATCTTATTTGAGTTTCCTTATAAACAGTGAGTGGTTTTTCTCTTGCTGTCAAGATTTCGTTTTTGAGATTGGCTTACGTATGACAATTTAACTATGATGTGTCTCGGTGTGGATAGCTTTGTACTTATCCTACTTGGAGTTATCAAGCTTTTTAGATGTGTAGATTAATCCTTTACATCAAAATTTGTAAGTTTTCTGCTATTCAAATATTTTTTCTGCCTATTTCTCTGTCTCCTCTCCTCCTGGAGTTCCTTTTATATGCACACTGGTGTGCTGGAGGGTGTCCCACAGGTCTGTTGAGGCTGTTTTTTTTTTCTTTCCAGTGTTCAGATTATATAATCTATTAATCTATCTTTGAGTTCTCAGATTTTTTTCTTCCACTAGGTTTCGTCGACTGTTGAGCCCCTCTAGTGAATTTTATTATTTATTTATTTTACAAAAAATTTTTTAAAATACGTTTTTGTTTGCCTTTTTAGAGAGAGAGGAAGAGAGAGAAAAAGATAGAAACATTGATTTGAGAGAGAACTATTGATCAGCTGCCCCCTGTGTGCCCCCTGCTGGGATCGAGCCTGCAACTTGGGCATGTGCCCTGACAGAGAATCAAACCAGGACCTCTCAGTCCATGGGACGCTCAATCCACTGAGCCACAACTACAGGGCTCTAGTGAATTTTTAAGTTCCAGAATTTTCATTTAATTTATTTATACACACACACACACTCACACATATATATTTTTTCTTTTCTTTCTTTTCTCTTCTCTTTTCTTTTCTTTTCCTTTTTTTTTCTTTTTCTTTTCTTGTTAATCCTCACCTGAGAATATTTTTTCATTGACTTTCAGATAGAGTGGAAGGGAAGTGGGGAGGAAGAAAGAAACCTCGAGAGAGGTACATCAATTGCCTCCTGCACGACCCTGACCAGGGCCGGGGGATTGAACCTGCAACCCCAGTTACTTGCCCTTGACTGGAATCAAATCCACAACCCTTCAGTCCGTGGGCTGATGCTCTAACCGCTGACCCACACCAGCCAGGGCTTATTTCTATTTCTTAATACCCTCTTTTGCTGAGCCATTCTTTCTTTTCTTTAAATGTGGTTCCCTTCAGTGTCTTGAACATACTAATAACAGCTGCTTTCAAGTCTTTGTCTGCTAAGTTCCAGATTCTGTTGACCACTTTTACCCTGTGTCATGTATATATGTGCCACATTTCCCTGTTTCTTTGTATGTCTTATAAATTTTTCTTTACAAGTGGGCATTTCATAGAATATATTATAGCAATTCTGAATTCCGTTGGCTCCCTAAGAACGTGGTAGTTTTAGCTATTTCTGTTTTTTGCTTAGTGAATCGTCTGGACTAATTCTGTAGAGTCTTTGTTTTATTCTCAGTTTTTAGGTTCATTTTAAAATTTTTGTTTTTATTTTCAAGACTGGCTCTCTCAGCCTTGCGTGTGGATTAGCTTATTTTAGTGGTCAACCGCATGATTTGTCAGTTGGTTATGCTTGACCTCGAGTCAGTGAGGCTTTTACTGTCTGCCCGTGGATCTGGCAGTTTACAAGTCCACTCCAGTGTTTACTTCATGCATTCACACAACTTGAGCCAGGAACCAACCAGTAATTCACTTAGGACCTCTCTGGTCTCTTCTGACAGCCTTCCACAGGAGCACAGCCTCTGGACCACCAGTAATAAGTAAGACCTTATCATTGCCTACTTTGTGTTATTCCACAGACCTCCCTGTTACATCTCTGACTCATCTTCCACATTATCTCTTGTATCCCCAGTATTGAGACCTTAGTCTAGTTGTGATTTTAACCTTATCTCTCTTTTTTTGCCATTGAGATCACTATGATTTTTGACAGGGCTCTAAGGCATAGGGATCCCCTATCCACCCCCCCCCCACCCCCTCTTATATTACTTCTACCCTCTAGAGCAGTGAAAGTGAGAATTGTGTGGTGCAGCTCCAGACTACAACTGCACAGGCTTCTGTTGCCCTTACTGATGGTCACTAGATTTTCTCAATTTGTTATATGCCTTTGGCCAGTTTCTAGAGCCTTTAAGTGGTGGTTTTGACTATTTTGTTCAGTTTTATTATTATTTTTTTTGGTGGCAGGGAGAGGATTTGCCGAACTCCTCATTCCATCATTCAAGAAGTCCTGCATCAATACCTTTATTAGCCACATACTGTATTTCATTTTATAGAGAAGGATTCTGTTTTAACTTGATACTGATTTGGTTGGTCTGCCATAACAAAATACCATAGACTGGGGGGGTTAAACAATAGAATTTTTTTTATCCTCACCCAAGGCTATTTTTCCATTTATCTGCAGAAAGAGTGGGAGGGAGGAAGAGAGAGAGAGACACACACATCAGTTGGTTGTCTCCTGCACAACCCTGACCAGGGTTTGGGACGAACCAAAACTGAGGTATGTGCCCTTGGCTGGAGTCAAACCTACAACTTTTTGGTCCATGGGCCCACGCTCTAACCGCTGAGCAAAACTGGCCAAGACTTAAACAACAGAATTTTATTTTCTGACAGTTTTCGAAGTTAGAAGTTCAAGATTAAAGTGCCAGCATGTTTGTTTTCTGGTGAGGGTTCTCTTCCTGGCTTACAGATGGCTGCCTTCTCACTGAGTCATTACGTGGCCTTGCCTTTGTATGTGCTCAGACAGAGATTGATTTTTTATTTCTCCTCCTCTAGTAATGATTCCAGACCTATCAGATTATAGCCCCACACTTATGACTTCATTTAACCTTGATTACATCCTTTTAAGGCCCTCCAAATAGTCCAAATAGTCAAATTTGGGGATTAGGGCTTCAGTGTATGAATTGGGAGAGATATATTTCATTCCTTAATGAACTTCATGATTCTCAAACCTTGCTACATATTATCATTGTCTGAAATTACCCCAGACTTCCTGAGTAAGTAGCTCCATTGTGGATAGGGGTCTCTACCTATGTGATTCTATGCCACCAGATAGGTATCATCAACCTTTGATGTCAGGAACACTCATTAAGAAATCCCTCACTAAAGAAGATGAAGTGTACTGATTTTCACTATTAAAAACAATGCTGCAGTGAACAGACACTATTGTACATGTGCATCTCTGTGCACTTGTCCTGTCATTGCTTCAGGACAAATACTGAGAGGTAGAATTTTTGAGTTAAAATCTATACTATATTACCTTCCAGAAAATTTTAACACTTTACCAAGTATGGGAGAGAAGGCAATTTTCAACCCTATCAAATGCTAAGGTCATGATGTTCGCCTTTCAGCAGTACATACTGTAAAGCTCGTTTACCACTCTTAGCTAGTAAATGCTCACATCTTACTTTGACATTTTAAAACTTTTTTTTTTCATTCCACTTTCACAGAAAGATCCAGTGTCTAGTGGTAGAAATGAAAGTAAAGAGTTCCTACAAAAATGGATTTTAGATGGAAATAGTATTGTAATTGATACTCTCAGTGTTTGGAAGAAAGTCTGATCTTATTAGAGTGCCAGCTTTGTTATGCTTGAAAGATTGTCATTTGAAAGAACTGCTGGCAAGTGTTTCTTTTTGGTTCTCAGAAAGTTGAAGTGTTTAGGTAAATGCTACAGAGAATTCATGTGGTTCAAGGACAAACTTTCTCATGTTTAGTGATACATTAGGGAAGTGAGAAATGCCATTGGATGTCTTAGGTTGAGGTTTAAGTAAGCTTGGTTCTAATTGAAAGGTTTTATAGTGTTTGTACACTGGACAAAGTTTTAAAATAAATTGCTTTAACATGTTTTACAACTCTGAAGTTCTAATGAAATGTTTTAAATGCAAGAATATACCTCTTTTTCTATAACCTCCACATGAGTTAGAGGTTGTACTGTACAGTTAATATGACAGATCCATTTCTTTTCTATTCCATTAAATTAGCCAGGTGCAGAAGTATTCTGAAATTTGAGCCAACACTTCACATTGTTCTTATTCATATTAACAGTTGCTACTTTGAAATCTGAAAGCTACTCTAGTCAGGATTGGCTTTGTTCAAAGGTACTGTGATGGGACTTAGATTGTAAAGCTCACAATGTAAAACGCAATTACATATAGGTAAGTCAAGAAAGAACTTGGCTTTGGGGAGAAGATCTTTGCTCTGCATCCATGGTGTTTGCCTTCAGTCACGATTCCAAGTAACTTGATTTGGGGAAAGAAGAGAAGCCATCTCAACTGTTTGGCAGTTGACAATGCTTTTTTGGGTCCTCTATTTGACAGGTAGAGTTGGTAAAGTGATGATAACTATTTTTGGAAGATAAATATCTGCCCTTTGGAGTAGAAAAGGGAATAGAAGAACAGAAGTCCAAATTCTCAGTCATAGCCCCAGATCTGTATTAATTGGTAGACTAATAGAATGCTCCATTGGTCAGGTGGTGTGCTGAAATTTATAAAGGATTACAGAAGGGACAGAGCATGGGAGGGTCTAATAAGATAGCATGGTCCTTGTAGGCCCAGAAAACTTCAAAACGCATGAGGCAAAAAATTAAAACTAAAATGATACAAATGATACTTGGTCTTTTTCATTCTCAGAGTTGGTTTTCTAACTGTACAGGTGAGTGAACAGAAATCAGAAGCCCAGGAGAGCCTAATGTATTTGTGAATTATAATAAAAGTGACTGTATGAAAAGAAAAAGAACTTGGATGAGGTTGTAGCATTCTCTTGCCAAGGCAAAATAATTTAAAGAAAAATAATGATAGGGTTTGAAATAATACTTTTGAGATTTTTTTTTCCTTCCTAGAAACGACGACTTGAACATAGTAAAAATGTAAATACAGAAAAGCTAAGAGCCCCTGTTATTTGTGTACTTGGACATGTGGACACAGGGAAGACAAAAATTCTAGATAAGGTAAAAAAATTCTGTTATGCATTGATACAATTTTTTTTTCTTCTTGATCCTCACCCAGGGATATTTTTCCATTGATTTTCAGATGGAGTGGGAGGGAGAGGGAGGGAGAGAGAGAAAGACACACACATTCTCTCTCTGTCTCTCTCACTCTCACTCTTTGATTTGCCTCCTGCAGGACCCCAACCAGGGCCGGGGATCAAATTCTGGTTTGTGGGCTGATGTCTAACTGCTGAGCCAAACAAGCCAGGGCTGATAGAACTGTTTTGAAATCCTCACCTGAGGATATTTTCCCATTTATCTTCAGATAGAGGGGGAGGAAGGGAGGGAGGGAGAAATATGGATTAGTCGCCTCCCACACAACCCGGGGACTAAACCGATGAACTGATGCCGAGGCACGTGCCCTTAACTGGAATCGATCCCGAAACTCTTGGGTCCTGGGGCCGACACTCTAACCGCTGAGCCAAACCAGCCCAGACTACAGCTTTTTAAATGAATGAATGATAGACCTTATAAAAAGCTAATACAAACCATAGCACATACATGCAATTCTCTTTACAATAAATATGTTATTACTTTCTTACCTCTTTATTTTTTGCATTTTGAAATACAAATCTGAATCTGCTGTCTTACCCAGCTCCGTCACACACATGTACAAGATGGTGAAGCAGGTGGTATCACACAGCAAATAGGTGCCACCAATGTTCCCCTTGAAGCTATTAATGAACAGACTAAGATGATTAAAAATGTAAGTATACTGTATTTCATCTCTAAATACATCTCTAAATAAGTATACTGTGTTTTAATCTCTGAAATAAGATATGAACTATTTCCAACATAGAAAAAAAGCAGAATAGTATAACAGACCTGTATGGTCACCATTCTTAATTAACATGTGTGCCGTTTTGCCCTATTTTGCTTCAGATTTTTAAGCAATAAAACATTAGATATTATAAGATCCATCACATTCCATTTCCTTTCCTCTTACTCCAGGAAACCTTCACTATTCTGAAGTTAGTATATCTTACCCTCCACATTTTCACATTTTTACCATAGATCTTCATGTTTCAAAATTGAATTCCCTCCTCCTCCTCCCATTTTTCATCTATCATCTTAAATATATATATTTTTTATTTTCCTTATTTTCTCAGTTCTGGAGATATTCCATTGATTTCTGCTAACTATAACACAGTAAAGAAGATCACATAAGATTAATATAAAGCTTAATGACTCATGATTAACGTAAGACACCCTTTGTGTCACCCATGTTAGGACTCTCTGCCCCTTTCTAATATGCTTGGTTCACATTTTATTTTAGGGCAGTTTTCTTTCAGGAGTAACTTCTAAAGTAATCTCTACCTTTTATTGTGTTAGTGGTTGCAAAATGTTGATATTCTAACCCCTTCATTCATCTTTATTGGATTACTTTGGTAGAGAAACTCTACCTAATCTGTGTGTAGGAAAGGCAGAATAAACATCTGATACTTTACCATTATTTATCATTATTTAAAATAGTGACCAATTTGGCTTTTTTTTTTTTTTTAATATATATATTTTTTTCTTTACTGATTTGTAGCAAGGAGAAGGGGAGAGAGAAACATTGGTGAGAGAGAACATCGATTGGCCGCCTCCTGCATGCTCCCACTGGGGATTTGGCCCACAACCTGGGCATGTGCCCTACGACTGGGAATTGACCCACAACCTCTTGGTGCATGGGCTGAGACTCAACCACTGAGCCACACTGGCCAGGCTAGTTTCGTATTTTAAACTCTTGGATTTAAACATATTTACTGTATTTTAATCCATTTCAGTTATATTGTGTTGAGATAGTCCCATCATTGCCCTGTGGTTGGCTCCTGAGTCTTTTGATGCAGTTCTGGTAGTCTTATTTGTTCAGGCTGTTGGAATAGCAGCATGTTCCAGGCTTTGTTATATATAACTTGGTGCTGACCTGGAACTGGGCCTTGCAAACAATTCCTGGTTCCGTGGTCACAGACCAGGTCAAATTGGTCAATTTAGAATTGAGAAGCAGTAAATAACTGACACACAAAGCGTATATTATTACATACTGTGTCCCTTAATTAGTCTTAGTTCTGTATGTAGAAAGGATCTGTGAGCTTGGCTCTCCAGTTTTTGTTTGTGTGCATGTGTATTATGAAGCTTGTTTCTGGTAGATTCCTAAAGAAGGAATAATGGCAAATAATATTCCTTGAGCATTTTGAATATTGAAGAGTTACTTTGTGGCTGTCACTTGGCTACATATAAAATGGTTGGGTTCACATTTTCTTAAGAATCTTAAATTACTCCAATTTCTCATATAAAGTATTGCCTTTCAGGTTTGAGCACAAGCTGGTTTTCATCTTCGTATAAGTAATCTGCTCTTTTTTCACCTCAGTGTTGGTTATTTTGGGTCTGTTTTCCCGATTTGTGGTCTTCCATTTCAGTATGTAGTTTAAGATATTAATTTTAGGACAGTTTTCTTGAATTACAGCTTTTTAAATTTTAAATCATTTAAAATTTATTTTGGTTGTATTTTACCTGATATTTCTATGTCATTGGGGAGTTTATTTCACCTGTTTTCAAAATACATTTAACAGCTTGTTCCACCAATTGCCAGAACTTGAAATCTGGTGTTATTTTAGAACACAGTTAAAGAGCATGACTTTTATTAGGCCTGTATTCAAGTTCTCGGGCTAATTTTTATTTGACAGGTACAAGTGTTTGTATTCTAGACACTGAAGTAAAAATAATTATGGTGCTCAGTGAATGTTGATTCAGGATCACCAGGAAGTAAATTTGAATAATTTTTTTCAATTAGATCAGGAGGTAAAATTTTGAAAAAAATTATTTAAAGATTGTCAAAAAGTATAGATAAAAAAGGTAAAAAATGTATTTTGTGTGTGTGAGAGATTTGTTAGTCAGTGCTACTCTTTAGATTAAAAGAGAATGTCCCTCTCGGGCATGTTGTAATGTTTCCATTCATTTATGTACTTTTATCCAGAAAGTCTAATGTGATTTGAATGAAGCAAAATATGAATTTATTCTTTACTATTTTAGGTTGATATGGTAAATTTTCTTTAAAACATACTTGGGATATTTTTCAGAGTTTAGAATTGTTTTAAAATTGGACTAGATAATTTCCAAATATTGAGAACTTTTTGTCAGCTTCTGATAATCACTCTCAGATGACCGCCTTATCATTTATTACTACTACTCTGCTCAAATTTAGACTACACCATAGTTTTATGACCTTAACAAAAAGAATACCCCCCCCCTTTTTTTTTTGGTTAATTCTCACCTGAGGATATTTTTCCATTAATTTTTTTTTTTTTAAGAGCAGAAGGGAGGGAGGTGGGGGGAGAGAGAGCAAGCAAGCGAGACATCGATTAGTTGCCTCCCACACAACCCCGACCAGGGCCGGGAATTGAACTTGTAACCCAGGTGGCTGCCCTTTGGGAATCAAACCTGGACCCTTTGAGCCAAACCAGCCAGGGCTCCTTTTCTTTTTTAAAAATTAATTTTAGGTAGAGAGAGACATTGATATGAAAGAGAAACTCAGTCTGTGGTCTCCCACACTTGCCTTGACCAGGGGTCAAACCTGCAACCTGGACATGTGCCCTGACCAGGAATGAAACCTGTGACCTTTTGGTGCGCGGGATGATGCACACCCACTGAGCAATACTGGCCAGGGAGGGAATATTTTCTTATTTCAGTTTTTTTCTGGAAAACTTTTGATGTTAAAGAAAATATTAAATGTTGTACTTCCCTGGTTGACTCACTGTTTTCAAAATAGTTCGTTTAGAGAAGGAAGTGGTGATAGTTAAACATTTTCCTGGCAAAATAATTGCTTTGTAAAGAAGCTTTTATTGTTTTGGCTTCCTTCTTAAGCTTTTCGCTTTTCCCATCTTTTCTAGTTTGACAGGGAGAACTTACGGATTCCAGGAATGCTGATTATTGACACCCCTGGGCATGAGTCTTTCAGGTAAGAGCAAATTGAGTCTTTTGTCATCAAGTGAACTGCTTGAAATTGTTGAGTCTAAAAGTTTAGTCAGTAAGAAGGTCTGACTAGTCCTTAATCTTTAAGGGGATAGTATTTTGAGATCTGTGGTTTCAACTGCAGATCTCTAGGTAGCTATCTGTGACAACTACCAAACCTTCTCTGTGCCTTGCTGATTTAGTAATATTTTATTTGAATATTTGTTTTTTTAATAGTCTTTTCTTCTTGAAAAACAAATCCTAATACATACCTTGTCTATCTCCTGTGAAACCCATTACAGGTGGAATTTTATCTAGTTGCCTCTTGGCCATATTCCTTAGTTTAAAAAAAAAAAACTTGGTCAGTAAAATTGGCAGAAATGTTGGCGTTATTTCTGGAACTAACTCATTCTAACTGGTGTCAGCTCACTGTCAGATAGGCATGTGGCGAGTGAAGGGCTAATGAATGGCACTTGAATTTAATGCATGTGCTTCATTTTGTTCTTTTTGTTTTACAAAGAAATTAAAATTTTAAGTTTCTTTAAGTAAAAGTTAATTTAAATATTTCTATTTATGCATCTTTTTTTTTCTTTTCAACAGTAATCTGAGAAACAGAGGCAGCTCTCTTTGTGATATTGCCATTTTAGTTGTTGATATTATGCATGGTTTGGAGCCCCAGACAATTGAATCTATCAACCTTCTGAAATCTAAAAAATGTCCATTTATTGTTGCACTCAATAAGGTAAGCTCTGCTTCTGAAAACTTAAATTGTGAAAACATGCTTCTTAATTTTTTGTGATTAAAAAAATGTATCTTAGTATAACTTTCATATAAGAATATAATCTCATGCTAATAAGTTCAATGTATTTTGACAAATTTATACACACACATAACCACCATTCAGAATATAGACCATCTCCATATTCCCAGAACAGTCCCTAGTGTTCTTTTACAGCCAGTCGGTTCCCTTCTGCAACCCCAGACAGACATATATGATCTTTCTGTCACTATAGACTAAATCTGCCTATTCTGTAATTTCACAGTAAAAGGATTATACAGTGTGTAATCTTTTCAGTCTGGCATTTTTCACTACTCATGTTATTACAGAATTATCCATGTTGCATATGTCATAGTTTGTTCCTTCTTATTGCTGAGTAACATTTCATTATCTGAATAATACCACACTTTATTTACCTGTTGAAGGACATTTGGATTGATTCTGATTTTTTGGTTTCTTATTAATGAAGCAGCTGTGAACATTTGTACACAAGTCTTTGTGTAAACATTTGCTTTTGTTTACTTTGATAAATAGTTAGGAATGTAATTGCTAGATCATATGGTATATGTATGTTCAGCTTTGGGAGAAAAGGACACATTTTCCCAAAGGGATTGTACTGGTCATTTTACATTTTTAACCTACAGTGTTTAAGAGTACTAGTTTCTGCCCTGGCCCATTTTCTTAGCGGTTAGAGCACCAGCCTGCGATCCAAAGAGACCCGGGTTCAGTTCCCACTAAGGGCATGTACCTCGGTTGCAGTTTGTCCCCAGCCCTGGTTGGGTCGTGTGGGTGGTAGCCACGTGATGTGTCCCTTTCACATCGATGTTTCTCTCTTTCTCTCTCTCTTCTCTTCCTCTTTCTTCCTCCCACTCTATCTGAACAAAAAATGGAAAAATGTCCTCGGGGGAGAATTAAAAAAAAAAAAAGAGTTCTAGTTTCTGTACATTCTTGCTAACTTGTAGCCATTCTAATTGTGAAGTGCTAAATAATTTTGGTTTAATTTGCATTTCCATAATGACTAATGGCATCAAACATATTTTCATGTACTGATTTGCCACCTCTTTCTCTTTGTGAAGTATCTGTTTAAAATCATTTTCTCATTTTTTTTTATTACTGTTTTAGTGTTGAATTTTAAGTTTCTTACATATTGTTGATATAACTCCTGGTCAGTTATGTATACTGCAGATATACCTTTATAGTCAAAGACTTGGTTTATCATTTTCTTTATGATGTGTTTTGAAGAGTGGAAATTTCTAATTTTGACAAGATCTAATTATAAATATTTTTTTAATTGATGTTTTTAGAGAGGGAGAGAGATAGAAACTTTGATGAGAGAGAAAGATCGATTGGCTGCCTCCTGCACGCCCCCTACCAGGGATCAAGCCTGTAACCTAGGCATGTGCCCTGATTGGGAACTGAACCAGCAACTTCTAGGTGGACAGGTCAGTGCTCAACCACTGAGCATCACCGCCTGGCTAGTTTTTTATCAGATATGTTTTTCAGATATTTTATCCCAACCTGTGGCTTGTCCTTACTATCTTGACTCGCTCTTACAGAGCAGAAGTTGTCATTGATCTAGCTGTAGCTTATCAGCGCTTTCTTTCATAGCTCCTGCCGTAGTTGAAGTTGAAGTGATTACCATAGCCAAGGTCATCTCGTTTTTTCCCTGTATTATCTTATAGGAGTTTCAGAGGTTAGTATTTTACATTTAGGTCTGTGATCTATTCTGAGTTGATTTTTGTGAGGGGTGTACAGTGTATATTTTTGGTATGTGGATATCAGGTTTTTTCAGCATTGTTTGTTGCTCACTATTGATTTTTTAAAAAATGTTAAACTAACAACCTTACACTACCGGAATAGACCTTGGTCATGATTAGTGTACTTAGTCATGCTAGATTATATTTTTCATATATTGCTAAATTTGACTTGCTAATATTTGTTGCAGATTTTTGTGTTCATGAGGGATTTTGGTATGTAGTTTCTTGTAATGCCTTTTCACTGGTTTTGATATCTGAGTAGTGATGGCCTCATAATATGAGTTAAGTAGGAATTTCTCCTCTATTTTCTAAAAGAGTTAACATAGAAATATTATTTTTCTTTAAATGGTTTATAGAATTCATCAGTGAAGTCCACATCAGCTTATAATTTCTTAGTTAGTGTAATTTATTTAGGTATTGTATTTTCTTTTGTCAGTAGAGAAATTTGTCTTTCAAAGAATCAGTTTTGATCTTATTATATTCTCTCTTGTTTGTCTGTTATTGTCTGTCATTGATTCCAGTGCTAATCATGTGCTTCCCTCCTTTCTACTTTCTTCGTTTTCATTTGCTCTTCTTTCAATTTCTGAAGCTTAGATCATTGATGGCGGGTATTTTTTTTCCTAACATAAGCATTTAGAGGTATGCTTAGGCCCTGGCCGGTTTGACTCAGCGGTTGCAGCGTCAGCCTGTGGTCCAGAGAGACCCAGGTCGGTTCCCGCTAAGGGCATGTACCTCGGTTGCGGTTTGTCCCCGGCCCTGGTTGGTCATGCAGGTGGCAGCCACTCGATGTGTCCCTTTCACATCGATGTTTCTCTCTCTCTCTCTTCTTTACTCTCCCTCCCACTGTATCGGAACAAAAAATGGAAAAATGTCCTTGGGTGAGGATAAAAAAATAAAAATAAAAAAGGTATGCTTAGCACTGTTAAAAGCACTGCTTAGACATGTTCTAGTTTAAAATAATGTTTTGTTTTTTTCCTTCATCATCATTGCTTTTTGGCTTTTATCTCTAATTATTCTTTGTTCCTCTGTATGTAATGTGCCTTTTTTTCCTTGGCTGCTTTTAGACTTTTTAAAGGGTTTCATCAGCGAGATTACATAATAGTTTTATGTTTATCCTATTTTCTTAGATTTGTGAATTTATAATCATCAGTTTATAAAAAGTTCATGGTTGTTATATTCTTCAGACTATTTTTCTGATGTTAGTTTCTTTTTTTGAAGTGTTTGATAGAATTTTAGTACTCTTCAGAACTTTAAGTTACTTCTCTTAATATTGTCCCATAAATGACTGAAGTTTTTTTTCTTTTTCCCTTTCATTCTTTTTTCTGCATATGCTTCAATTGGGATCATTTTTATTGCTACATCTTCAGGGTCACTAATCTTTTCTTTTGCAGTATGTAATCTGCTGTTAAGCTCATCCAGTGAATTTTCCATTTCAGATTATATATATATTTTAACTACAAGATTCATGTTTTTACTTTAAAATTGTAGCATATACTTATAAGTATTTTAAGGACATTGTTTGCTAATTTTATTATCATTATAATTTCTGGATCTATTACCACTTGCTGATTTTTCCCCTTAGTAGCATTCTAATTGGTCTACTTTTTTATATTATCTCTCTAGACTGAGCTGGTTTTTAAAAACTAGTCATTTTCATCTCTATACCCATTTATCACTTTTTTGAAAAGTGGGGGGAAATAGATTTAACTAAACAGATTAAACCCTAATTTGAGCAATAGAACAATTAAACTGGGCCTTTCTTTGAGATAGAGAGTACTTATTTTTTATTTTCTTTTTTTTTTTTGTACATAATTTTCCTGGTGATAGTACTTGCTATAATTAATTCTTATTCCTGTCTACTGTTAATCCAAAGAAATTTGGAATCCCAACAACATGGTGATGGTGCTGGGGTCATTCTGGGGTCTCGGGGTCACTCTAAGGATCTCATCTTTTGTAAACAAATGACTGCTTCCCAGGGACCAGTGAGAGGCTGAGGGGCAGCATGGGACGCAGTAGTTTCTAATCGAAGAGGGGATGCAATTCAGCAGGTTGTAAGAGGCTTTTGATGCAATAAAACATGACTACTTCACATTTCTGGATAAATATAATTTACTTGAGGAATTTTCTGGAGATTTTTCTAACCACATTAAATATTTTATATGAAAAACTTTCTCAGATTGATAGGCTGTATGATTGGAAAAAAAGCCCTGACTCCGATGTGGCGGCCACTTTAAAGAAACAGAAAAAGAACACAAAAGATGAATTTGAGGAGCGAGCAAAGGCTATTATAGTGGAATTTGCACAGCAGGTAAGAAAGCTGTCCCTTCTTTTTTTTTTAATCCTCACCCAAGGACATTTTTCCATTTTTTGTTCAGATCGAGTGGGAGGGAGAGAGAGAGGAAGAGACAGAGAGAAACATCGACGTGAAAGGGACACATTGCGTGGCTGCCTCCTATATGGCCCTGGATGGGTTGGGGACATACTACAACCAAGGTACGTGCCCTTAGCGGGAACTGAACCCGGGTCTCTCTGGACCGCAGGCCGACGCTCTAACCACTGAGCCAAACCGGCCAGGGCTGTCTCTTCTTCATGAAGGGCCTGTATCATCGAGCAGTTTTTTATTTTACTATTGTCTCTTTGTAATAAAGTCAGCACTTTCACTAATACTGGTTCTGTTCCCATATTTATGGCAGTCAGTAGTTTTCATTCTTTCCCCTTATCCCTTTTCCTTTGTAAATCAGAAAGCAGATATTTCAATGATCTTTTTTTGTAGTTTGAATGTTTAAATTTTTGAAACTGAGTTAACGTGGGAAGAAACTATTTTTTCTGAAACATTATAATGCCTCAGGATACACTTGACCTCTTCTCGAGTGTTTCTGATGTTTCAGAATGTTTAACTCTTTGCTCCTCTAGCTTCCAGTTAGGTGTTCCCGTTGGGGTACCACCCTCCACAGCTTGGCCTGGGATGATTTTGCTTTTTTGTCTTTAGGGTTTGAATGCGGCTTTGTTTTATGAGAATAAAGATCCCCGCACTTTTGTGTCCTTGGTACCTACCTCTGCACATACTGGTGATGGAATGGGAAGTCTCATCTATCTGCTTGTCGAGTTAACGCAGACCATGCTGAGCAAGAGACTGGCACACTGTGAAGAGCTGAGAGCACAGGTGATGGAGGTGAGTCAGCTTGTCCATTTATTGCCTTTTTTTGTTGTTGTTGTTAATCCTCACCTGAGGATATTTTCCCATTGATTTTTAGATAGAGTGGAAGGCAAGGAGGGAGGGAGGGAGGGAGAGAAACATCCATATGAGAGAGACACACTGACTGGTTGCCTCCCGCGGGACCCCAGCTGGGGCCAGTGATCAAACCCGAGACCCTTCAGTTCACAGGCCAACGCCCTGACCGCTGAGCCAAACTGGCCAGGGCTGCCTTTTTATTAACAGCATGTTCTTGGGTGGGGATATTTACTGCTGTTAGATTAATCAGTGTGGCGCATTGTAGCATATTATCTCACCCCCTTTGCAATCTTGTCTCTTAGGTTAAGGCTCTCCCAGGAATGGGCACCACTATAGATGTAATATTGATCAATGGGCGTTTGAAGGAAGGAGATACAATTATTGTTCCTGGAGTAGAAGGGCCTATTGTGACTCAGATCCGAGGCCTCCTGCTGCCTCCACCGATGAAGGAGTTACGCGTGAAGGTGAGCCATGGTGGTCAGTGGTGTGTGGGATTCTGCTCAGGTCACGTCCTCACCTTGACAGCTGCTTGGCTCACCACAAACACACCCTCCCTCCTTGCTCTATTGTAGAGGTCGGCACACAGGAAGGCCAGTGTGTGAAACTTATTTACCAACTAAGCTTTTCATGAAAACTTAAGCGATTTTACACTACTAAGCAATTTCTCATTAACATCGTTTTTGTGAAATAAAACATTCACACAGAAAAGTACACAAAACATAGAAGAAAAGTTTAACACATTTTTAGGAAGCAGCCAGACCAAGGAAAAGAACATTTGCCGACACTGCGGCAGCCCTCTGTGCGCCTCTTCCTGGTCGTAGCTCCTTCACCCCCAGAAGTTAACCATGCTTCCATTTTTAGGATAGTAACTAATATCCTTGCTTTTATAACTTATAGTTTTCATGCCTGAGAGTACACCCCTAAAAAATACATGGACTTTATATGAATAGTGTCATTTTCATTGTTCCTTTGTCCAAGTCATTGCCCTTGTGCAGGGGCCACTGCATGAGTGCCTTGTGGTTTGTTCTCCCGCAAATGGGAAGTGGGGGCTAGCTCCGGTTCTACTTTTTTTTTTTTATCATCCTCACCCGAGGACATTTTTCCGTTTTTTGTTCAGGTAGAGTGGGAGGGAAAGAGAGGAACAGAGAGAGAGAGAGAGAAACATCGACGTGAAAGGAACACATCGAGTGGCTGCCACCCGCATGACCGACCAGGGCCGGGGACAAACTGCAACCGAGGTACGTGCCCTTAGCGGGAACCGAACCCGGGTCTCTCTGGACCGCAGGCCGACGCTCTAACTGCTGAGCCAAACCGGCCAGGGCCCGGTTCTACGTTTTTTTTGTTAATCCTCACCTTAGGATATTTTTTCATTGATTTTTAGAGTGGGGGCAAGAAATATAAATGTGAGAGAGAAAGAGACTTTCATCAGTTGCCTCTTGCATAACCCCATTCGGGGCCATGGATTGAACCTGCAACCCAGGTACGTGCCCTCGACCAAGATTTAAACCCAAGACCCTTCAGCCCACTGGTCAGTGCTCCAACCACTGAGCCAAACTGGCCAAGCCAGTTCTGCGTCTTTACTGCCAATACTGGCGTTGGTGTGAATGTCACTGTGTTGTCTCCTGGGGAGTTGCACAGGATTCTCCAGGTGTGTATTGGTGTGAATTGTGGAGTCATTACTGAGGCTTAGCTCCCAGTTCACTAGCTGTTGTCCACAGTGAGTGGGATGCATTATACTTCCAGCTGTTTGCATTGTTTCACATCTGCCTTAGCTCTTGGATGCTGTCAGATTTTCCCCACTCGGGTGGCTGTGTAGCTCATGGCTGTTTCAGGTGGCACGTGCCTGACTGAAACCTGGTTGGCCATTAGTTTATTAGCCATTTAAATTTCTCTGTGAAATGCCCGTTGTGCCCTGGCATTGTCTGTCTTTAGCACAGATTGATGAGCTGTTTATGTCTTTGGGTATTAGTCTGTTATTGGTATGTAGAGAGTACATCATTTTCTCCTGTTCTGTGACTTTTCTTAACTTTTGTTCTGGTACCTTGAGAAACAGAGTTAGTTAATTTTATTGTCACTTGTATCAAATTTTTATTTTGTGTTTATTGCTTTTTGTGTCTAGTTTAAGAAATCTTTACTCCAAGGTCATAAAAATATTCTCTCTTACATCATTTCCTAGTGCTAACCAGTTTTAAATGTGGTGAAATGCTTTGATCTCTGCAGAACCAGTATGAAAAGCACAAAGAAGTAGAAGCAGCTCAGGGGGTAAAGATTCTTGGCAAAGACCTGGAGAAAACATTGGCTGGTTTACCCCTCCTGGTGGCATATAAAGAGGATGAAATCCCGGTGCTTAAAGTAAGTTGTTTCCCTCTAAAGCTATCTGGCTTCCGCAGTGGGTCGGCACGCCCCGCCAGGAGTGCTGAGTAAGGCTACCTGGCTTCCGCAGTGGGTCGGCACGCCCCGCCAGGAGTGCTGAGTAAGGCTACCTGGCTTCCGCAGTGGGTCACAGGCCCCGCCAGGAGTGCTGAGTAAGGGTTGCCTCTGTCTTGTGAAGAAAGAAACCCCAGCTGGTGGCCTCTTAGCAAACAGTTGATACTTTTAAATTACTTCAGTTTAAAAAAAAAAAGTTTAGTTACTTCAGTTTGTATAATCATATTGAATTGGCATAAGTAATATTTATGTACTCTAAAATTCTAAAATATTTATATAAATGAATCTAGAAGTTTGCTTTATTTTAGATATCCGAATATGTAGACAGAACTAGGTACTTATAATCATTTAAAATAATTTTAAAAGAAGTTTGTTTTTTGTTTTTTATCCTCACCTGAGGACATTCTTTTCCATTTTTTTGTTCAGATAGAGTGGGAGGGAGAGAGGGGAAGAATGAGAGAGAGCAAAAGATCGATGTGAAAGGGACACATCGAGTGGCTGCCACCCGCATGACCAACCAGGACCAGGGACAAACTGCAACCAAGGTACGTGCCCTTAGCGGGAACCAAACCCTGGTCTCTCTGGACTGCAGGCTGATGCTCTAACCACTGGGCCAAACCAGCCAGGGCAAAAGAAGTTTTTATTGATTTTTTTTTTTTTTTTTTAGAGAGAGAGAGAGAGAGAAAAACATCGATCAGCTGCCTCCTGCACACACACACACACACACCCACCCACCCACCTCCCCCCTCCCTGCTGGGGATCAAGCCTGCAACCCAGGCATGTGCGGGGAACTCAGTCCATGGGACAACGATGCTCCGTCCACTGAGCCTCTTAGCAAACTGAGCCACTCCAGCCAGGCTAGGGGGCATTTTAAAGTCTACCTGTTTGTAGGAGCAGATTGCTCACGAGTCCAGCATAGTTTTACAAAAGCAAATTTTGAGCCAGTTTATTTTCTTGCCAAAGAGAAGATGCCACTGTTACAGCCCATGGCTTGTCTAATGTGCTGGGACCACCAGTTACTAGTCACAGGCGTCTGGGATTGGCCACCTTAGGGCCAGTGAGAACGGGGCAGGAGTCCATCCCTCGCAGGTCAGCTCAGGTGTGGCTCATCTTCAGAGGAGCAGTGATGGGGACAGGGCTACTGAGAGAAGGTATTTCAAACTTGACAGTTGAACAGGGCCGTTGGGCTACCATAAACACATTCCGTTTGTGTTGTACTTTTAACTTTTAAGGTTCTTATTTATTTTTTCATTTCGCTCACCTGTCTACCTTTTTTGCCAAGTAGAGCAGAGGTTAAACATATTTCAGTGTCAGTAAACCTCAGACAAACAAAATGAAGTGACACAGCTTGCCCTGGCCGGTTTGGCTCAGCAGTTAGAGCATCGGCCTGCGGTCCAGAGAGACCCGGGTTCGGTTCCCGCTAAGGGCACGTACCTCGGTTGCAGTTTGTCCCCGGCCCTGGTTGGGTCGTGCAGGTGTCCCTTTCACGTCGATGTTCCCCCCCGCCCCACTCTATCTGAACAAAAAATGGAAAAATGTCCTCGGATGAGGATATAAATAAAGTGACACAGCTTGAATGTGGTCCCCAAAGGCCGTCCTCCACCCAACACAGGTTCCGTGCTTGCTCTTTGTAAGCCTTGGTTTCGTGTTTTCAGATGAACACTTAATGACAAAGGGGAACACAGTTTGACTCTAGGCTGCTGCTGATGGAGTACAGCCATGTCAAATCCAATTTCTTTTTAAGGATGAATTGATCCATGAGTTAAAGCAGACACTAAATGCTATCAAATTAGAAGAAAAAGGAGTTTATGTCCAGGCATCTACACTGGGCTCTTTGGAAGCTCTACTGGAATTTCTGAGAACATCAGAAGTGCCCGTAAGTAACTGAACCCAACACCAAAGTCAGGGGTGGCCAGGGTTTGTGGGACCACTTCTGTCACCTGACTCAGGTAGCTAACCACACAAACTCCCTGTCCACAGTATGCAGGAATCAACATTGGTCCAGTCCATAAAAAAGACGTTATGAAGGCTTCAGTGATGTTGGAACATGATCCTCAGTAAGTCATTTCTCTCCTGCTGTGAAGGCTTCCCAACCCTACTTATTTCCTTTGAACTCTCTGTGATGTGCTCTGTTTTTCACTGAGTGGTCTTTCGTATGCTCTGACATTTCAGGTACGCCGTCATTCTGGCCTTTGATGTGAGAATCGAACGGGATGCACAAGAAATGGCTGATAGTTTAGGAGTTAGAATTTTTAGTGCAGAAATTATTTATCATTTATTTGATGCCTTTACAAAATATAGACAAGACTACAAGAAACAGAAACAAGAAGAGTTTAAGTAAGTTGGTGATTTTACTTTTCTTTGGGTCTTTGATAATGAAGTTGACTGTTGGAGAATGACTGAGTACCAGGAAGGTGTGTAGGCGGCAGCAGCAGCCTGGCATGTGCCCCTCTGCCAGAGGCTGTGCCTGAAGTGGTGGGTGAGGCCTTCCAGCAGTGCAGGCCCAGCCTCTCCGTAGCCTTCCAGGTTTTGTCTGGTTTTTCCATTTTCAATTTGGCAGACCTAGGTCTCATTCATGGGTGCGTAGTTGCTACATTTGGGGATTTTTTCTTCCTTATCTGGGATTGCATGAAATGGAAGTTAACAAAACTCGAGTGTGGAAGTCTAGGGAAATGAAACGAGGCCCGACATTCCCTGGGCGTGAAGCCCGTTCCTGCAGCGCACTGTGTGGCTGTCCACAGCTGCTCGTCAGCAGCGACCCTGACCATATCCCCTCCTCCTGGAGCTCAGGGGAGAGAGAAGCAATGAACACAGGAGACGTGGGGATAAGTGCTAAAAAGGCTAAATAAAGCAAGGGAGGGCCCAGATAAGGAGAGGAGAGCTGTGGTTAGTGTGGTTTGGGGAAGCAGCTCATCCCTGAGATCTAGGGCATGACGGAGCCACCTGGGCATGGGAGTGTGTAGGCCGAAGGTAGACTGGGAGGCGGTCTTCACACACTGACCCTTGGCGAGAGTGGTAGGAGATGAGCTCCAAGGAGTCAGCAGAGCCCAGGGCACGTGGACCTTGTGGCTACAGGAAGGATCTTGGAGTCAGTGACGAGGGCCTGTCGGGAGGCTCCGTAGTCCAGGCCAGACAAGGATGGCTCCGAGCAGAGAACCCACGGGGAGTGATGGCTCCATCCGGGGTGTATTCTGGAAGTAGACTGACTGGTATTAGGATTCAGATTGAGACATGGTCACTGTAGCTCATGAAACCTAACATGAGAAGACAAATTCAACCAAGACTGCGAGAAGCTGTGACAGCACGTTAAGCATATGCTGGGTAAGCAGGAAGTAGTGACTTTTGGATCAGCTGATTTGGGAACATGGCAGAGAAAAGGAAGATGTGGTTTGATGCCTGTGTGGTCCCAGAACAGATACCACACGTGCCATGTGCCACACCTGTAGGTAGGCCCCACTGGGGCTCAAGGCCTTTAGTCTGAGTACCAAGTGCTCCTGTGAGGTGTGGAAAGCACCCAGATGCACAGGGAGGGGAGGGGGTGAAGGGAGAATGAAGTCACAGGTGGCCATGGAGAGCACACCCACCGCTGGACGGGGGCATGTCCCTGCTGCTCCGCTGGGGCCGCTGAGAAAGCTGCTTTATCTGAGGGAAGAAGCCTCCTGCTCATCTGTATTTGATTTTTAGTTTAAGTGGTTTTGTAAGTTAAAAAAAAATTTTTCTTTTCCCCTTTTAGGCACATAGCGGTATTTCCCTGCAAGATGAAAATCCTCCCTCAGTATATTTTCAATTCTCGAGATCCAATAGTGATGGGTGTGACTGTGGAAGCAGGTCAGGTGAAACAAGGGACCCCCATGTGTGTCCCTAGCAAAAATGTAAGTGCCAGTTGTACTTTGAAAACAATGTGCAAATCTCTCACAGCAGTAAATGAGAGTCCAAAATGGTGACAAAAAAACTAAAAACCAAGCCGAGCTTGTCACCTTCTGTAATTTATACCTGTCTTGCTAATGCTATCATTCCTTAATCAGGCTTGGTTATTAGCACCTGACACCAGTGTTTCAGTTAATGAAAACTGCAGTTTGAAGTCCTCATTCACATGTCACCAATTGTCCCCAAAATGTCCTTAATAATTGTACCTGCTGACCTGGCCAGGCTCCCTTCACGGTGCAATGCCTTTGGCTGTTAGTGTTTCAGTGTCAGCAACAGCCCCCATCCTTCCTGGAGTCCAGACCATTGCTTCTGGCAGTTCCCCGCTTGGTGTCCGCTTGTTTCCTCACTAGACGGAAAGGGTCCCGTGCACGTAGCTGCCCGTGTACCTCCTGCATTCCACACAGGCCATCTCGTTGTCCGGGACCTTCCACTACTTGGGGAGGTGCATGCTGTCAGCTAAGCATCTCTCTAGAGACAGATCTTCCCCCTTTGTAATTACACAGTCTGTGGGGTCCTCTGTGTCCCTATAATCTCCTGTTCCTCAGCCTTGACCTCAGAAGCTTTAACCATTGGCAATCCTTGCATAAGTCAGTTGTTATGGTTGCAAAACTGTGATTCCTTTCCCTTCTGTAAAGAACCCTTGTTCCCCTGACCTTTTCATTAAGTATCTGTACACTAGGTTTGGTTTCTTAAAATCTGCTGTTACAGTTAATCCGTTACCAATACTTTTGATTGCCAAATGATCCAGTTTGGTCCATGGGAGCCACATAGACTCAGAGCTCTTCCTTCGGTGCAGGAAACGGCCCAGGCTCATCTAGTCCTCTCCCTGCCCCAGACCTCCTTTAGCAGGCATCGCTTCTACACCATTTCAAACATCCACTGAGCTAGGATGTTTATTTGCAGTTATCTCCTTTATGATTTGGGTCAACTCTGTTTTCACTCTTTCTTTTTTTTTTTTTTTTTTTTTTTTTTTTTTTTTTTTTTATCCTCACCCGAGGACATTTTTCGATATTTTGTTCAGATAGAGTGAGAGGGAGAGAGAGAGAGAGAAACATCGATGTGAAAGCGACACATCGAGTGGTTGCCACCCACACGACCCAACCAGGGCTGGGGACAAACTGCAACCAAGGTACGTGCCCTTAGCGGGAACCGAACCCGGGTCTCTCCAGACCACAGGCCGATGCTCTAACCGCTGAGCCAAACCGGCCAGGGCTGTTTTCACTCTTTCTTAATCTCCTGTATCTCTTCCCAAGGCAGAGAGCAGAGTCCCCACCCCACACCCCCTCCACTGTAACAGAATAGGTTGCTCCTCACTCTCACCCTCGGAATGAAACGCATAGTTCTTACCAGGGCCTGCAAGGCCTTGGCTGCCTCCCTGACTCCACCCCTTACTCCTCACCCGTGCTCACTCCAAGCACATTCTTGATTTAGAACATTTGGCCTCTGTCATGTAAAGGGCAGAGCAGATAAGGAAACGACATTAGATTGACAGCCCTCTCCAGGTTTCCCAAAGCACAGCCTTCATACAAGGGGGCAGAGGTGTGCTGGTGCCATCCTGTGTGTCAGAGAGAGAAGTCCACTGTGGAGGGGAAGCAGTCCTGGAGGGTCATGGCACGGCTTTGAAACTGGCCTTTCTGTTCAAAAACCGTTATTCCCTCAGTGCTTCAGTGCTTGTGATGGGCAGGATGCCTCCGCTTATATTGTAATTTGTTCTTATTTTACAGTTTGTTGACATTGGAATAGTAACAAGTATTGAGATAAACCATAAACAAGTGGATGTTGCAAAAAAAGGACAAGAAGTCTGTGTCAAAATAGAACCCATCCCTGGTGAATCTCCCAAAATGTATGGGAGACATTTTGAAGCTACAGATATTCTCGTCAGTAAGGTAAGTCTCTCCCCCAGAGTGGCACCTTTGAAAAGAGGAAGGGGTGGGGGGTCAGCTCTGCTCCGATTCCCTTTACTCAGGAGCTCTGAAGGGGACGAGAGGCTCTGTCAAGGCTTGATCTGCAGAGCAGCCTGTGTGGAAAGCTCACGGCCCAGCAGCACGGCCTTAGCATTCTCTGTAACGACCAATGTCTGGGGACAGACTGGGCCGCCTCCTTTACTCAGGCACTTGTTGGTTATGTTCTGTTGTCTGCCCTGTGCCTCGCACCTTGCAGATCAGCCGGCAGTCCATCGATGCTCTGAAAGACTGGTTCAGAGACGAGATGCAGAAGAGTGACTGGCAGCTTATTGTGGAGCTGAAGAAAGTATTTGAAATCATCTAATTTTTCCACATGGAGCAAGAATTGGAGTAAATGCAAGAAAAAAAAAAGATTAAAAAAGTGGAACGGAAGGAAAAAAATAGATGTATAAAATGTTTTCCATGAGAAACCAAGAAACTTACACTGGTTTGACAGTGGTCGAATATGTGTCCCCACAGCTCCAACGTGCCTGTCCACTCGCCCGCTCCTTCCCAGCCCCTCTCCTCGCTGCTGTTTCCAACTCTGCCCTTTCCCCTAAATTTGGGTTTTTATTACAGATCTAAAGCTCTTTCAATTTTATACTGATTAAATCAGTACTGCAGTATTTGATTACCAAGCTTCTGCAGATTTTGTGATTCTTGGGACTTTTGATGTAAGAAATATTTTATTTATGCATCTTCTTCCCATGGTCATTTTTCCCAGCATTCTTCTGCCATATGCCCTTAGGAATTTTTTAAAATAGAAAATTAGGCATTCTGGTATTTCTTTATCTGCTTTGTGTGAAACCATGGTGTAAAGTGTAGCTGGATGCGATTTACTGCTTGTCTAGTCACGAGTCCACTGTAATCAGCACAATTCTGAACTACCAATAAAGGAAACACATTCACCAGAAAGCTCTGCTAGGCCTCCGTGTTAGCACAGCTTCTCTCCCATGAGTCATCAGCACTGTCTTTTAAGACAAGAACTATTTTATTAACTGCCCTACCTTGTGTACCAGCACATGTTATTAACATTAGGAATTTTTAATATACCAATCTTGGTCTATTTTGTCCTAGAAAATCATGCATACATTTTCTGAGACAATCAACAGGGAATTGATAACTATTTAGGCTTAGAGCTTCTAAATTGATGCACAGACTACATAATGATTTTCCTGAAACAATGTGGATAGTGGGTCCACATAAGGATTTGCTCCTTGCCCTAATATAAGAAACCTTTGAGCCTAAGATTAATTCTTGTAACAGATCTTGAAGATCTGGTTACCCATTTATAGCAATGTCAAATGATGGGTGTCGAAGAAAATGTTCCCCAAGTACTTACTGGTGTAAACTGTATTTTTAAAATGTTATGGCATAACATAGCAGCATAAAAATAGTTTATATACATTTGAAAATCTGTACCCTTCTTCATTATATTTAAGATTCTCCAGGGCCAATAGAGGCAAAGAATAACACCTCTAAACCACCTGTGGGACATACTTTTCCCAGGAAAAACAATCTTCGATTGTGTGTGTGTTCTAATGCAAAGTATGTCAATTCCTCCACTTGGAAGAAGTAAAGATTTTCTTAACTTGCTCCTGTGTTCATGCTTGGGGGTGTGAATGACAAAGCTTTACCCTTGCTTGGAAGCGGATGTTCTCAGGAAATTACAAAGCTTAGAGGAATCTGGCTTGGAGGTTTTTTCAGCCTGTAGTATAATCAACAGCTCAGGATTTGTTTCCTAAAGGATTCACAAAAGGAACCTGTACAAAACATACATACAGTTCTTTATTAAACAACTGTAAACACTTCACTGTAAAAATTCATAAAACTTTATAAACAAACATTTTGTAAATAGACTCTATACTACAGTAAGAGAATTAACACAATTATTTATTTACATGCAATACTGACAAGTTTGGCACTTATTGAAAAGAAATGTACAAAACTTACTCAAAAAAGAAACTTGAAATTATAAAAACTCAGAGCATTACTATCATGCACTTTGTAAATACCTCACAAGCACTTATGGCACAGCCAGCAGAGAGCACCAGGCTCCCTGCTTGTGTTTATGTAACTTTTAATGTGCTCCCATAAGTTTGTTGTAAAACCACCTGAACATTGTCGAGAATAAAGTCAAATGCCATATTCCAAACCGATTCCACCGACTGCTGCATCAACCTAAAGGTGGGGAAAGAAGAAACATCAGGAAAGACCCAGCATTCCTTTGTCAAGAAATCAGTTTAGCGTATCTTGAGGATTTATGGGTTTTAACATTTTATTTATTTTTTTAATCCTCACCCGAGGACATTTTTTCCATTTTTTTGTTCAGATAGAGTGGGAGAGGGGGAGTGAGAGAAACATCGATGTGAAGGGACACATTGAGTGACTGCCACCCGCACAACCAGCCGGGGACAAACTGCAACTGAGGTACGTGCCCTTAGCGGCAACCGAACCTGGGTCTCTCTGGACCGCAGGCCGACGCTCTAACTGCTGAGCCAAACCGGCCAGGGCGGGTTTTAACATTTTAATACCAATTTCGGTAAACAACTTTGAGAAAGTTCCGAAGGACTTTGCGTGGTTTTAAACTGAACCTTGAGGGGAACAATCTCATTTTGATTTTTTTTTTTTTTTTTTTCATCCTCACCCGAGGACATTTTTTCCGTTTTTTGTTCAGATAGAGAGGGAGAGAGAGAGAGAAACATCGACGTGAAGGGACACATCGAGTGGCTGCCACCCGCACGACCAACCAGGGCCGGGGACAAACTGCAACCGAGGTACGTGCCCTTAGCGGGAACCGAACCCGGGTCTCTCTGTACCGCAGGCCGAAGCTCCAACCACTGAGCCAAACCGGCCAGGGCTCATTTTGATTTTTTTTTATGACCCACTCAGTATTGCAGCATTCCTTTCTCTAGGGTTCAAAATAAAGGGCACCCCTTTTCATTAACCCTGATGAGTACAGTTAAGGCAACTGACTTCCAGGAACTACAAAGCTCCCTCAGAGACTTGCCTTCCCCAGCTAGCTGTGTGACATGCCATTTCTCCCTTTTGATGCAAGTACCTTTTCATGTATTTTATAACAAGGTCCAGTTTTTCCAAATCTTTCTCTTCTATTAGGTCAGTGCAGTATCTCACAACTTGCAGAATGTCTTCTTCCATTGGATCTAGAGGGGAAAAACCTCAAATGAGAACCAGCCCATGTTTGTTGGAAACTGCATTTCTACAACACAGATGATCAGGGCTACGAAGGAATTTGCACAGCCAGCTCCAAGTTTAAATGGTTAGTGGTTGACTGGTTTAACTTTACTAGATTCATAAAAATGAGCTCTCTCTGCAAAATCAAGCCTATTCAAGACCCGAAATCACAGGCCATTCATGACGCATCTAGTTTTCAGCTGTCTACCCCATCCAAGCTAACCTGAAATGGTGGTTATCCACTCTCTGAGCAGTGTCTTCACATCGCTGAACTCCACAGCTCCAGCTAGGTTGGGTGCGGGGGGTCTGACACAGCCAGACTCGGCAGGCTGCACACCTGAAGTAGAAGCAGAGAGTTCTCCCTGTTAAGAAAACAAATGATAAAAAGTGCTATATTTATGTAATATTAATATACAAGGTCAAGGTTTAAAAAGCATTTAAAAAATCTTACCAGAGGTTTCTCAGGAGCAGGACCTTCATGTTTCAGAAACCCATCAATTAACTTCTGGGGACTCCCAGAGGCCCCTGGCACAGCTTTTGCAGGGCTATTAAGCAGCTTGTTTTTCAAAGGGCTCTGAACTTTTCTGGGGGAACTGATGGGTTTCTTTTTCTTGTTTCGTTTCTTTTCTTTTACTGCTGCTGATTTTAGCTGAAGTAGCGGATTCTTTGGCACTAAAAGATGATGAACATAAGATCCTCAATCTATCTGGATAATAGTATGAGTTCTCTCCTCCCCCCAAATCTAACCCCTGCACACATGTACCCCCAGCAAGAACTCTTGCTGAGACTGGGAGGCAGTTAATGACCCCAGGGGGAGTCAGGCTCTCTGCTCTGCCACGCCCCCCTCTCCTTTGGAACACTGCTTATCGATAAAGGGTGCTCCCGAGGATTCAATGAAAATTCAGCAGTGAATATAAACAAACAGCTCATGAGACACTCTTCTGTTTTTTGGTAAATGTGTTTGTGATCCCTGGTCAGAAACCTTCAGATTTTGTGTTTTAAACCTGTGTATCAGTCTCAAAGGGCAATGGCTTGGCAAGTATTCAAAACAGATTTCTGGAAATGTCTTATTCAGGCTATTTTTTCTTAAGGGCATTAAAAAAATGGTCAGTAATGGTGTTTTTAAGTCAAGAAGTTAGAAATACAAATCTAACTAGGCCTGTATCACTCCCATATTGTATACTTGTTCTATTCCCCCAATACGAACAGCTCTTAACATGACTACGAGTTAGATTTTGGCCAGTTATATACAATAAGCGTCCACAGTGAGGATTCTGTTGTTCACATGTTCATGCTGATCAGTGTCTCCCCGGGCTTACCGGCTGTGCTGGCTGGCGGCTGGTGCGCGCTGTTCTCTCCCTGCCTCTGTCTTTGATCATAGGCTGCTTTCAGCTCCTTTTGAAGCTCAGCAGGAAGGGCAGCAAACACCTCAGGATCCACCTAATGGAAGACAGAAGGTTCAAAGTCAAACCTGAGTTGATGCTATATGGCAGCTGGTTTACACTTTTCACAAAATAGATGGTTTTCAAATCATACTTTTCTGATCTGTATGAATTCTTAATAGGTCTTCAATATGAAGACTCATTAAATCCTCACGAGGTTTTAGGATGAGAATAAGGAATACAATTTTGAGTATGAATTGCAAAATTTTTAAAAAATCCACTGACCCACCAGGGCAAGCATTCATAAAACAGGCTTGTATGTACGTTTTTTAAAACATCAGATTTAAATTGTTTCACTGTCCCTGGTGTATGGTTATACATCTCCACCCTGCTACCAGCGAATGGCCCAGTGGTGAACGGGGGAACAGGATGGCTCTTCTGGGTAGAAGCTGTGAGCACCCACATACCACAGCCTCCTCCTTTGCCTTCCGCTGCTTCAGGACAGGCGGCTGTCGGTCTGTCCTGCAGGTGATAATGAGACGAGCCAACCCCCAATGGCCTCAGTATAGACGAATGAGAGTTTAGGGTGCAAAGGAAAATGGGAAACAAGACATGCCCTGAACTGGAGTAGGACGGACGGGATATTTAAACTATGATGGAAGACCCCTAAATTTAACTTACCTGTGAAAATGCTGGAAGGGCTATTACATTAAATCCCATGTTGCTGTTAGATTCTTGAGGTTCTGGTATTTGTAACAAAACTGTCCCAACTGGTGGTGGCAAAATTCCTGTACTACAGCCATTTACTGGTTCTTTCTTTTTGTCACCATATGGCTCCCCTTGTTGAACAGCACAAACTTGCTCTACTTGTTCCCGCAGATCAGGTGGAAGTGCTTCCAAAACAGACTGATCGAGCTATGAAACACCAGAGGGTGTGCAGTTAGCCACGCTCAGAGATGATGTGTTTGGAGAGTCCGCACTTCACTTTCATTTCGATTTTAACATCTGGGATAATAAACATCAGGTGCAGATAACCAAGCCAGGAAAGCCACCCCCCAAACCTTCGGCCACTGAAG